AGGACTAGAACTCCCAGTCTCCTGGTGATTGGCTCAAAGTCACCCAGGTGGCTTTCATTGCTAAGGCAGGACTAGGACTCCCAGTCTCCAGGTGATTGGCTCAAAATCACCTGAATGGCATTCATCCCTTAAGGCAGGACTAGAACCCCCAGTCTCCTGGTGATTGGCTCAAAGTCCCTCAGCCAGCTTTCATGTCTAATGCAGGATTTGAACTCATGATCTCTCACTTTGTAACCTGGTGCTTTAACCACTGGACCAAACTATGAACCTACATGCTGAGATTAGATCACGTTGGATCTGGGACAAAACCCAGCAGTAAGGGTAATTTCATTGTTTCAAGAACGTGTTTCACAATAAACTTGAAATTAAATAAGTCCAAAGTCACCCAAGCTGGCTTTTGTGCCTAAGGCAGGACTTGAACTCGTTGTCTCCTCATGATGGGTCCAAAGTCACCCAGCTGGCTTTCATGTCTCTAGCTTTGGTGCCTTCCGTCAGTGAACCAAACAGGTTCTCCATGTTTTCGTGTTTTTTTTTAAAGCTGAGAATCTTACACCCTGCCCCTGAAGGTAGGACGGGAGAAAGGAATGACCCTGGAATGACACTCACCTCCTGAGACAGGAAGGGGATGAGCTGAGCACAGATGACATTCAGCCGCTTGGCGATCTCCGTCTGCAAGGGGGGAAAGGGCAGGAGGAAAGGAAAACGCCATTACAGTATATCCGCCTGAATTCCCACAGAACAGAAGAGAAATGGCAATGGAATAGAATAGAAAAAATGGAATGGAATATGCAATATGCAACAGAACAGAACAGAACAGGAAGGGGATTTGTAGGCCGTGCGCAGCCCTCTGCCAGCCTAAACAGTCCCCCAAGCTCCGTTTTCGCTTACAGAAGGCTAGCAAAACAAACTAAAAAACAAAAGGAAATAAACGTTTCCCCCTTTTGCATTTGAGCACGCAAGAAGGGACAGGAAAGGAGAAAGGGAAAGCGGAAAAAACAAAAGAAAAAGAAGGGAAGAGATCAAGGGAGAAAAAAAGAAGGAAAGAGGGGAAGGAAGAAGAAAGGAGAAGGAAGACGGAAGGAAAAAGGAGAGGAGGGAAGGAAGGAAGGATTATAATGAGAGGGAGGGTCTGATGGAAGTCTTGCCTCAGCAATTGGCTACCACAGGCGCCCCCCAATATGAATGACGAGAAGTTGGCCACGCCCACCTTGCCCCCTCAGGTCAAATACAACCCTGATGCGGCCGGCCCTCAATGAAATCAAGTTTGACACCCCAGCCCCACACCACTTCTGACAGATGGCCGCCCAATCTCTTCCTAAAAGCCTCCAGTGATGAAGCTCCCGCAATTTCCGAAGGCAACTTCTGTTCCATCGGTTGATTTTTTTTTCTGTCAAGGAAATTTCTCCTTCGATTCCAGCGCTTATCTGCTTTTCATGAAAAACACACACACACAAAAAAAACCCTCCACCTCTCTGCTTTTAATCTTTAACGTGGCCAACCGGCTGTTTGGTTTTCCCCTCGAAATTCGATACCGCTGTCTGAAAATCCAGCAGGGAGCACGCAAGCCCAGTTGAACTGACAACCCGGCCTTTGCAAACACCGAAAATTTTCTGCGTTTGAAACCAAGCGGCGCCTCGTCTTCGTTCACCTCGGTGCTTGGCCGATTTTCGCCCGCTTGTCAACCAGATAGAAAGGCATTTGTTCCCACTGCCTTTCTCTAGGACCTTGGGTTCGATTTCTTAGTGCTCCTCAGATTACGACCGACCGTCATGGAGCTAGCCCATCACGGTTGTAAAGCCATGACGGCTATAAAACAACCCCAGTGGTCAGATTCCGTTGCCGGTCAGGATTCCAGGAGTGATTTTTATGATCTCAGCTGTTATTTTTCTTGGCTAGCCACCAAACTCAAGATACTGAGCCGAGGGTTACAAGCCCCTTGTAGAGAGCAATTTGATTCCTCCCAAATGAAATAAACTGAATTAAATTTATTTGAAGTAAATCAATTTGAAATAAACAACACCAGCGTCGGTCAGCTTCAAAGTTCAAATCGGCAAAAATAAAAATGAAATAAATACACATCGGAAGCCTGGCTTTCCTGTAAGATCTATATTATTTCTATGATTCCATGATATTCTAATCCCCAAATCAAAGTTATGTTTCTCTCTGTTTCTTGCAAATACAGGTAGTCCTCGACTTACCGCCACAACGGAGCCCACCATTTCTAAGTTGCTAAGTGAGACAAATAGCTGTTAAATGAGTTTCGTCCCATTTTATCACCTCTCTAAGGGACACAGTGGCTCAGTGGCTAAGATGTTCAGGACTGCCTGTGTAGCCTTGTGCTTGATGCTACAAGGCCAAACGTGTGCCTAAAAATGAAGAACGGGATGCAGTGGTAGCTCAGTGGCTAAGATGCTGAGCTTGTCGATCAGAAAGGTTCGGCAGTTCAGCGGTTCGAATCCCTAGCGCCGCGTCATGGAGTGAGCTCCCGTTCCTTGTCCCAGCTTCTGCCAACCTAGCAGTTTGAAAACATGTAAAAAATGCAAGTAGACAAATAGGAACCATCTTTGGTGGGAAGGGAACAGCTTTCTGTGCACCTTCGGGCATTTAGCCATGCCGGCCACATGACCACGGAGACGTCTTCAGACAACGCTGGCTCTTCAGCTTTGTAACGGAGATGAGCACCGCCCGCTAGAGCCGGTAATGACTAGCACGGATGTGCGAAGGGAATCTTTACCTTTATCGCCTCTCTTGCCACAATTGTTAAGCGACTCGCTGCGGCCGTTCAGTTAGTAACATGGTTGTTAAGTGAATCTGCCTTCCCCAGTTGACTTTGCTTCTCAGAAGGTGGCAAAAGGTCACATGGCTCCGAGACGCCGCAACCGTCATAAACATGAGCCAATTGCAAAGGATCTGAATTTTTCATCACGTGACCCCTTGGGAGAAATGTTGCAATGGTCGGTTGGTCAGCAGGAAAAATGATCACATATCACTTTTTCCGGTGCCGTTGTAACTTCAGTCGCTAAACGAAAGGTTGCAACGTGAAGCCTTCCTGCATTTCGTCCCCTTGCCAGGAGTGAAATTAAGCCACTGCTTGGGAAGTTCTCCAAACACAAAACTTTTGCCAGGGTCTGCATCAGTGATTTCAAGGAGTAGAGGGCTTCTGAGCATGCACAGAGCGCCTGGCTCTCATCGGTCTCTATTTCCCCATGGAAACCCTCCAAAGCATTGAAAACTGGGCAGGAAAGGTTTAGTTTAGTTTAGTTTATTGTCATTGCACCTGGTTCAGCGAAATCAAACACCATCTTCAGTGCACATCACGACCGTGAAAATAAACACAAACACACATCCTTCACCCTATTACACACTGAATTGAAAAACCCTTGACACCCCACCAACACTGCACTATACAACAGAATTCAAAAGAGCTACTGCCCTGGGCTAGAGGCTGTTTTTCAGCCTATTTGTCCTTGTTTTTATTATCCGGTACTGTCTGCCAGATGGTAATAGTTCAAAAAAAAAAAGGGGGTATGTGTGTGTGCCCAGGATGAGATGGATCTTTGAGAATGTTTTGAACTTTCTTAAGGCAGCAAACTTTTTAATTTTTGCCCTCCCTATTAGCAACTGCATTCATTTTACCGTGGATATAAAGCTTCTGGTTCTTTTTTTTTTTTAAATAAAAAGATAGCACTTGCCAGGAAAAAAAAAAGAGAGAGAGAGAAGGAGAGTAACGGAGACAGTAAGTACTTTCTGGGAAAAAATTTAATTCTCTCCTGGGGGATGCATAATGGATTTGCCTTTCTAATGCACTTGTGGCCAGGCACCTCCGGTGGAAGGGAGGAGGGAGGCGCGAGGGGGAAACTGTCTCCAATTCACTCGCAGCTCGTTAATGTTCAATTTAGTGGCCTCTTAACGCTCGCCCGGATGAGAAAAACGATCAAACCGCCTGCCCAGATTTCCTGCTCCTGGCCGGGCATCCGTCCGTCCTCTCTTCCACAGCATGCAAAGCAGAAGAAGTAACACGCAAATAGACACAAACGTAACACACAAATAGACACAAGCATAACCTTCTCTTTTGGATTCCTTCCCATCCACACACATACCCTAAAAACTGTCCTAGCTCCTTTCCGGAATACAAGTAATCCTCGACTTACGACTGGCATGGAGGGGAGGGGAAATAAGGTTTCTGTCGTTAAGCGGGACGCTTGCGAAGGGAGTTTTGCACCGCTTCCCGGAGCCGCGGTTTGTGAAAGGGTTTATCGCTGCGGTTGTTAAGTGAGGTTTTGAAGTCAATCTGGCTACCGCATTGATTTGTTTTGTGCAAAAGGGGTGGGGGGGTGTCATATTGATCCCTGGGTCAACGCCGTCATAAATACAAGTCGGCTGCCAAGCGCCTGAATTTTGATCACATGACCGTGGGGAACGCTGCAAGGGTTGTTAAGTGTGGAAAAACGGTCGCAAGTCCCTTTGTTCGGTGCTTTGTAACTTGCAATGAACGGTCACGGATGAAAATTCATACATTTGGTAACCGACTCACGTTTATGACGGTTGCAATGATCCCCTTTTGCAACCTTCTGGCAAGCAAAGTTATGGGGGGGGTGGGGGGGTAAGCCAGATTAACTTAACCGTGTTACTAACTTAACCACTGCAGTGTTTCACTTAACAAACGGGGCAAGGAAGGTGGTAAAACGAGGCAAAAATTACTTAATTGTTTTACTTAGCAACAGAAATTTTGGGCTAATGATCATTGTAAGTCAAAGACTACCTATACTGAAATTTAAAAGACACCCACATCAACCTTTATCTTTAAGGTAAAGTTTCCCCTCGTGCAGATACTGTGATGACCCAACGGGGCGTGGCACAAAAGCAACGAAGTCACAAAAGTAGGTAAAGTCCCTTTAATTCCTCCAACCTGGCCCCCAATGTCCAGTTATCATTGGCTGGAGAAAAAAACTACCCCAAGAACAGTTTTTAAAGGGAAGAAATTTAGTCCAAACCAAAAGTACATATAAATTATAAATAAAAACCAACACAAACCACTTGCTGCAGCAATTAACAAAGACAGGGCAGGATAAGGAATTGCAGAACTCAAAAGATAATGAAACAGATACAGTTGGGAGGACGCCTGAACCCAGATAGGACTTGGCAAACAAAGATAACGCACGCTTTGCTTCCAGCAAGGTGCTGTGCGCAAACACCCTCTTTATCCTGTTTTCCCAGTTGCAGCTAATGAAGGGAATCAGGGCCTTTTTCTGCCCCGTAACCCACGTTGCTCCCTTATCTGTTCCTCCCTACGTGCCCTAAGATGAAGACGGGGTGAGCCTGGGTCTTCCTCTGAATGCCCAGCCAGACTGTGTCCTTCACCAGTTTCTTCCACAGCCACTGGAGCCACACTCCCACTCCCTGTCAGCTGTTTGACCTCCCCCAAAAACATCTCCGTGGTCATGTGGCCGGCATGACTAAATGCCGAAGGCGCACGGAACGCCGTTCCCTTCCCACCAAAGATGGTCTCTGTTTTTCGACTTGCATTCTGACACGCTTTCAAACTGCTAGGTTGGCAGAAGCTGGGACAAAGAACGGAAGCTCACTCTGTTTACCCGGTGCTAGGGATTCGAACCACCGAACTGTCGACCTTTCTGATCAACAAGCTCAGCGTCTTAGCCACTGAGCCA